CTTCACCATCTTCCTCTCCTATGCAGCCGTGGCGCTGTGTCTCTGTCTGCAGAATACATTCTTATTTTTCATTTAATTTTTTTGCATTTCTGCATTAAAATCTTTAGTTTTAGTGGGTTGAAATAGGGACTTCCTGTTGCTTGTTGTCATGGTGACTCGTCACAACGGGCCTCCACTGATAATGGCTTTGCATACTTGTTGCGCACGTGTTAAACTCTAAGTTGACCTAGTTAGAGTTTATTGAACTAACTCACAGCAGCTTTTATGAAACTGAAAACTATTAGTCCCCGACTTTAGGCTAGATCAATTTAGATCAGGGGTCTTCAAAGTTTTCCAGGCCAAGGACCCCCAAACTGATGTTGAGATGGAGCGGGGGACCCCCTTATTATACATATTATATGAAATTTTGTTACATCAAACTGGTCCTATAGTCACTGTGTGCAAAATTATGAGGCAAATGAGTATTTCCACAACATCATCCTTTTCATACATGTTGTTCTACTCCAAGCTGTACAGGCTTGAAAGCCAGCTACCAGTTAAGTAAATCAGGTGGTGTTCGTCCCTGTAATGAGAAGGGGTGTGGCCTAATGACATCACACTTAGGCAACTTCCTTTCCTTTGGCAAAATGGGTCAGAAAAGAGATTTGACAGATTCTGAAAAGTCAGGAATTGTCAGATGTCTCTCAGAGGGGAGCAGCAGTTCAGAAACATCCAAGCTTTTGAAGCGGGATCATCGCACAATGAAGCGGTTTAAGGGCAAATAGCCAACAGGGGAGCAAGAAGGACCTGATAAAGTGGCCAGTGAGCGTAGAGCTGCAGAAACGTGCGTCGACTTACTGACTCATGACCACGAGGTTGTGAACCTTGATGGTTTCCAGAGTGCAGTATTCACTGGAAAACAGAAAGGGACAGAGTTAGCCTGGAACACTCGCTTGTTTTCATGATTAAAAGCTTCCTGGTGCTCATTCTTTCATCATCTTCTCAAAACTCAAAGATTCTATATTGTGGCAAAGCTTTTTCCTTTATGATTGGCAGATAGATACAGGATTCAAAACAAAATCCGCCACATAGATCCGTACACCTCCAACTCAGCACATGTCTCTAAAGATCTTCATTGACTTCAACTTACTACAGGTAGGTCAACTCATCTTCAATGCGAGTGGGGACCATGTAATCGATCTGGAAACAGAAAAAGAGTCCGGTGATCTAAAGGCATCTTCCCGGGCAGCAGACCAACAGACAGAGGCTGATAGAGAAGCACCTGTTTCTCGTCCAGAGGACTTATGGCGATGACGGTGCTGATCCGAGATGTACCGATCACCAGCCGGGCGAACTGCACCTGAGCTGTGATGTTGGCCACCTCCACAGAGTAATAGTTGTTGTTGGTGATGTTCAGAGTGTTCTGGAAGTACGAAAACCAGGAGATAAACATCAGCGGATGTTCCCTGCGTTAAAGCTGCTGCATAATCAGATCTGATTCTTCTCTCTGTTTACTGTTAAAGTGTTTGCTCAAAGCTAAAATCCTAAACTGCTTCTGAAAATGTGAACTATGAACTACCTTTTTTTTTTTATCTGATGTCACACTTCAGCTCAAGCTCAGACACTCATGTCTCAAATGGACGTCTTATCTT